CACGCACCCTATAGCAAAAACCTCCCCCCCCCCAAAAAAGAGAACTCAGTAAATACAAGCAAACATAGATCATTTGTCTTGCAGGAAAGCAACTAATGCTGGACCCTTGGATAAGATTCTTCATGGAAGTGTTGGTTATCTCACTCCAAGGAGTGGGGGTATGTGATCTTATTTTGCTTACTTCGAAAAATTTAGTTGAGGTCATTAACTTTTAGTTTCATTGTAGGTTTATAGAGACATAAACAGGGAGAAAATTACCAGTCATTGGTGTATTTTGTAAAAAAAAAATTTTTTTTAGAGAGATTTTTGTTATAGGAGGGTGAGTGTGGTTGCTGGAGAAACAGGGAAACAAAGTGAGAAATTACTCCCCAGGAGGAATGGCTACGCCCCTATCTGTCTTCCATTCTCTCTGGATTTTGGGCATGTATGCACATGCGCCTGCCATGAATTTTAAGCCACTGAATCTGGGACTTGAACTGTGGTCGACCACATGGGAGTCCAGCACTATTACCACCATGCCCCACCCTCTGGCCCCTTTTATAATGATTTCTAAGATATCAGCACTTGGTCTCCCCTCCCCCCCCCTTTCCCCCTAATTTTATAAAGTAAATTGTTCCCAGAATCAATATTTCTGATATAATTCATAAGCTGGTTTGGAGCATGACTCCTCATATCTTTGACATTATTTCCTTATATGAAGGTTTTGAAAAATGTAAATGTTAATGTTGCAGTAATGAGTTTTATTTTTCATAGGTCATTTAATGAACATAAAGTACTATGCCTCTCCGTCTGACCTGCTGGATGATAAAACTACATCTCCCATCATTTTGCATGAGAATAATGGTAAGACTTTAATTATAAGCAAACAGTCATTTGTTTTTCAGTGTTTTAAAAATATTTAAAAAGTTTGAGGTTCAGATGTAGTAGTACATGTTGTATACTGCTTCTTGGCAGGCTGAGGACAGATGAAAGGCCTGGGTTTGATCACATCCCACCCTATAAGCCAGCACAGTAGCTCATACCTATAGTTCTAGCTAATTGGAAGACTGAGGCAGGATTGTGATGAAGTGGGACTTAATCTAAACACCACATATACACACAGACAGTTTGAATGCCCAGCCTGCCTCCTAAGTTTTGGTTTGCTACTCTCTGATGACTTTGCTCTCCTTTATACCTGATACAAATAACACAGACATATATACTTTTATACACATGTACATACACAAACACACACACGCACATAGTAGGTTGTTGGGAAAGTCATGACACATTTTTGCATAGAAAAACACAGAAAGGGGCCAGCAGTTGGCGTGGTGGTTAAGGGCGTCAAGACTCCCACCTGCCCGACTACAGGTTGAGTCCCAGGCCTGGTGGCTTTTTCTCTCTCTTTCTCTTTCTCTTTTTCTCACTCAGTCTCTGATCAAATTAAATAAAGTTAAATAAAATAATCCTTAAAAAAAAAAGAAAGAAAAGAAAAACACAGAAAAATAGGTCGTGAATTTCCCAATGACCTAATACATGTTTATGTATACAAAAATAGGAGCTTAATAAGTACTCTTGAAGAAATATGAGACATGGGGGCCAGCAGGTGGCGTAGTGATTAAAGGCACTGGACTCCGATATGGCTGATTGCGGTTTAAGTCCTGGACCTGGTGGCTTGCTTTCTCACTTTCCCACTCTTGCTCTCTATTTCTCTCTGTCTGATCAAACTGGAAAATAATAATAATAAACAAAGTTAAATAAGATAATTTAAAAAAAGAATGAATAGATAAAATTAAATAATTTAAAAAAAAAATAAGAGACATAAACCATCTGTCTTAGTCCAATTTTCATTCATAACAGAAATACATGAGTCTGGATAATTTTGTATAAAGAAGATAGATCACTCATGATCTGGTGGGTGAAAATTCTAAAGGCCTAGGCTTACAGTGTAGCCGATGGAGGCAGAGGATGGCAGGGGGGGGGAGAAAG